TTTTTTTTTTTTTTGAGAAAGGGTCTTGCTCTGTTGCGTGGGCTAGAGAGCAGTGGCATCATCATAGCTTACAGCAACCCTAAACTCCTGGACTCAAGCCATCCTACCGCCTCTGCTTCCCAAAGTACTAGTTGGGATTACAGGCGTCAGCCACTGTGCCTGGCTGGAGGCTTCTTCATCAAACTAGGACTACAATAGTCAGAAAGCGCATGGAGGGAAAAGACCTTTGTGATGATTCAGCATTGCCCTTTGCCTAGGCATGTCTCAGTCTGGGGCTCCATTTTGAATGAGATGCATTTGCATCTTTGCTCCAGAACTCCAGAGTCAGGCAGATCTGCGACCTCATTCTGGGTCACTCAGATGCTAGGCTTGGGACTGCGGCAAGTTGATCTCTCAGGCCCTCAGTTTTCTCATCCATTAAATGCGTATCCTATCACTGCCTACTTCATAGGATTATAAGATTAAATGCTATAATGCATGTAAAAAATTAGCACTGGGCTCGACACAGAGAAAATGTTCAGTAAGTTTAAGCTATTGGTATTATTATTACATTCTCTTTTCAGCTGATTTCTTTTCATATTCCTAGGGACGTTTTTAAAGCAGGACCTAGCTCAAGCATTGTCATTAACAGAATAAAAACACCTATGAAAATACCAGCCTTGCACATTAAGTTCTAGACAGAAACCAAATGAAAGAAAATGTTTGATAGTAAGTTTAGCACCTGAAGATCCACTGCAAGATTTTGAAGTAAAGTTGAACTTTCTGGGTCAGTGAAGAAAGATTATACTGTGGCTGGTGTTAGAGGATTTTTCATTGTACATTGGCTTTTAAAAACGGTCATGCCTTGTTTGTGCAGCTCTCAGGTTGTGCTAAATCCATTTTTCTGAAAGGCTTCAAGGGAAACACAAGGAAGCTATTGAATCTCTTGCACTCAGATCTTTATGTTTTGCTTATATTATTGTTTTTCCCCAGTGGAATCTAGGGAATGGCAATGAAAGGCAGCTAGATTTCTTAGGCTCTTTTCTTATCAAAAAAAAAAAAAAAAGGTGGGGGAGCGAAGAGGGGGAGTAGTTTCTTTAAGGAAGCTGAAAGGAGCTGACATGCTCCTTAACCTAATGATAAAATGAAGGTACAAAAGAACCCTGGCCCGGGAAGGGAGAAAAGAGGACAGTGAGTGGCAAAATATACCTAAGACTTCAGCCTTCCCGATCTCCAGGCTGTTTCTCAAACTTGAAAAGTATTCTTTCCATTTAGGGTTTTGGCATTTATTGTTCTTTCTGCCAAAACTATATCAATTCACACATTTGTTCAATTGTCTCCTCCCAAAGAGAAGACACCCTTGACCACCACATCTCTAATAAGTGCCCTTTCTCTGTCCCTGTTACATTCTATCTCTTTATTTTTCTTCACGGACCTTTAAACTATCTGACATTTGCTTGTTGATGTACTTCTTGAGAGCCTGGTACATAATAGGCACTGAACAAGTATTTCTGAATTAATGAATCAACTGTCAAGACAGATCCTTTTCTTTACTACAGAGAGCTCTGGACTGCTATCAGGAGGCCAGGGTGTGCCTCTGGGGAAGTGAGTCAAATTCTCTGGGCCTCCGTGCTTGTATTTATAAAAACAAGAATAGTGATTTGTACCTTACCTTCTGCAAAAGACTGCCGTAAATCAAAGATGGAAGATAGAAGAACAGCTTTAGCCTCCTGCCCTTGCAGGTTAAAACCACATAAAGAATTAATTTAGGTTGGTGGGGAATTCACCCCAAAGGAATCTTGAATAAAGGCAGCTTTTGTAACTCTTGATTCTACAAGAAAACTTGTGAAGTCGTAGAAAATACTAGGCAAATTGGGAGTGCCACTACTGTGGAATTTGGGTACATTGAGGCCTCAAAGTCTTATGAAACTGCTACGGTGATAGCCAGACTGTGCTTCAGAGGCAAGACCCCGGGGTACATTAACTTTTATTAGAGTTTCTCAGCCTTTTTGAACCGAGTGTCCCTTTTGATAAACATAAACATTTCATTCCCTCTTTTTTGGTACTCCAGTGTAATTATAAAATCAAATTTTATTTTGAAATAAACCTTGTACTCATTTTAAAACAAAACACTTATGCTTACGATAGGCAGTAGAAAGAACAATGCATGTAAGTGGTGTCATATACACACGACCAACAAGGTATAGCTAACAAACATGCCTTGATTGCAGGGTTGACTCAGGATGGTTTCTCATTTTATCTTTTGTTTACTCCTATTAACCAAGAAGCTTTGGTTGGGCTTTGGCTTCTGTATTTTATTGTAGAAATAACACATTTCCTATGCCTTTCAAACTACGCCTGCCCTTTTCCCCAGTTCTAAACCCTCTAATCATAGCTTTCAGATATGGCCTTTTCTTCTGTTCAGTTTTGGAAAATGGAATCTTACAAAGCAGTAAAGGATTTTTCCATTGACAGGATTGCTCGCTTTCACTAAAAATGAGAAGTTTTTCTTTTTTCAATTATTTTCTCTGAGTAAGTCGAGAGTTTTGTATAATAACTATTAAAATAGCTCCTTATACTTGTCATTAGCGAGGATTTAAAAAATATGATGGAAATAAGGGGAAAATCATCTATAGTTGAAAATCATCTATAGTATACTGTGGTTGAAAATTAAGTAAATTTTCTTCTTTATTTTAATGAGATGAATTGCTTTGTGAACACACGTATTCTCTTACAACATTGCATTCTACTGCGTTTCCCACTTAATATGCAAAACCCCACTCATGTATAATGTTCTTACCAACAACTTTAAGGCATCATTTTTAATGGCTGCATGATAGTCCAGCTACCTAACAAATATACCGTATTTTTCTTAATGAGTCACGGGCTTTTAGGCATTCGAATCATTCCATTCTTTATTATAAATTCTATCAGGATTCATATTTTAGTCCATTAAGATTTCCTTGTATTTATGATTGTTTCCTTATAATGAATTTCCAAATGTGGAGTTTCTAGGTCAGAAAATACAAACAGCTTAGGATTCTTGATAGATACATGACCATCGATTTTTTTTCTAAATGATTATTCCAATTTATATTCTCACCAATAATGCACGACACTATCCATGTCACTACAGCCTCCCTAGAAATGAGAATTCTTGTTACTTGTCTTTATTTGCTATTTATACTCTGTCTCTTTACTTTTCACTTTTTATGTTTCATTGGTTAGTGGCTTTTTTAATATTGTTGTTAGCTGTTTTGTATTTTATGGGTTGGCTGTTAGTGTATTTTTCTCATTTGACCATTTGGCTCTTTCTTAACACATTGCAACTAGTCTTTGATCTGTTGCAGGTATCTTCGGTCAGTTTGACATTTGCCATTACCTTTTTGACACGCATAAAATTAATAGTTTTAGTAGCCCAATCTATCATTCATTTTCTTTGAATTCGGTTTCTTCCTTTGCCAGAAAGTCCTATCTCTTGCCAGAGATGTCATAAAACTTCACTTTGGTTTTTGTTTTAAATTTACAGGTTCGTTAGTTTACCTGTCACTCTTTAATTTCGTTTGGAATTGTCTTTAGAAGTAAAGGATATAATTTGATTTTGTTTCCTGAGACCTACCCCAATCCAGTATAATTTATAAATAGAATTGCCATTCTTCATTGATTTGTTCACCTACTTTGCCATATGTTAAATTCTTATATACAACAGTTACTGTTTCTGGACTATTTGGCTTAACTGATCTATTCTTTTATCAATAACACATAACAATTTATTTTTGTTTTTTTCTTTTTTGTTTTTTTAGACAGAGTTTCACTTTGTTGCCTTCAGTAGAGTGCTGTGGCTTCATAGCTCACAGCAACTTCAAACGCTTGGGCTCAAGCAATCCTCTTGCCTCAGCCTCCCAAGTAGCTTGCGACTACAGGCACCCACCACAGTGCCTGGCTTCTTTTCAAAGGTGGTGTCTCACTCTTGCTCAGGCTGGTCTCGAACTCCTGGGCTCAGATGATCCACCTGCCTTGGTCTCCCAGAGTGCTAGGACCATGACTGGCCTTTACGATAATGCTTTAATATAGTTTAATTTTTTTTTGACATTCTTGCCTATTGGTTCTTTGAGACGGAACATAGAATCATTTTGTTAAGTTAAAAGAATCCTATGGGATCAATGTTTTTTAGCACCCAGTTTATGAGTGAGAACATATTATATTTGACTTTCTGCGCATGGCTTATGTCACGGAACATAACGACCTCTGCTGCTATCTATGTTCTTGAAGATGAGAGGATTTTGTTCTTTTTTTGTAGCTGAATAGTATTCCATG